TCCCCTTTCTTAAATTTGAAGGTTCATTTGTCCACTACCAGAGTCCACATGGAACAGCTCTGTCACCATGGGGTGGTGGCCTGTTTGTGACTGCACCCTAACCTGCCACTGTCCCTCCCATCTCTAACACCATTCAGTCACTGGCTGTTTTCTCCATTTCTAAGATTTTGTCATTTGAAAATAAATAAATGATATTGTATGTAACTTTTTTGCTTGATTTTCCTTCCATATATATTTTAAACAATTAAGAAATATTTTCTATCAAAGAAATATTTTCTATCAATGTTTATTTTGGTTGTAACACTAAGAATGTGATAAAAGATGGTTGATTTTACTGTTGGATTATTACTTTGTAATATTTAGCATATATGGAAATGAGTAATTTCATTATTTGTATTTATAGAGGCAGCCGAACCTAATTAAGCAGTAAAGAATATTACAGACTATGAACAAGAAAATGTGATTCTGGGTCAGAGAAATACTTTACTGTGGTCTTTTTGTGTTTTTTTTTTTTTTTTTTTTTTTTTTTTTTTTGAGACAGAGTCTCCATGTGTAGATGAGATTGGCTTGGGACTCACTACATAGCCCCAGCTGGCCTATTACTCACAGCGGATCCTCCTGCCTCAACCTTTCAAATTCTGGGCTTATAGGTTTGCACCAACCGGCTCAGCAATTACATTCACTTTTAATGTGGATAATCACATGGGCATTGGTCATTGATTGGAGTGTAATATATATTAGGTATTCTCAAGGGTGACACAAGTGAAAAGGGGTTGTGGAGCCAGGATGATTGTTGATTTACATTATCCTGAGCTTGCCTTTTGGCCTTGAAAGGCCATTACTGAAATGAGTGTATTATGTGTTAACACTGTTAATCCAGTGATTTTAGTGAAATAATTTTGCATTTAGAGGAAACCATATAACTTCATAAAAACTCTGTATTAGGTTGAATATAACACAACTCAAACAAGCTTATTTAGTTGCAGGCCCAAGTTGTAGGATTTCTCTTATGCGGCTTCTCAGCTTATTTTCCCATGATAAAGGAAACAAATAAAGTTGACAGACTATGATGTAATCAGGGTAGATAATGTCTTCCCTGTCTTTGTATTCTCCTGGCGTAGCTAGATAAATCCTGCTCAGTGTGTACCTGTGGAGTGCTTTATGATTTTGGGATAGGCTTCTGTAAGTGTTCTTATCATACACCTTTTAAAATCAGTTTTTATTTATTAGAGAAAGGGTGCAGTTTTTGAGTAGCAGCATCATTCAGACATTACTGCCAAAGATTTTGTGTCCATTTGTGTAGAGAATTTAGCTAATCCATTAGCGTTCACAGCTAGGGCTCCAGGACTCAGCAGAACGCAGAGAAGGGCAGACTCATGAGGTTGATGTAGTATGAGTGAATCTCTAGGATTTTCATTTTGTTCACTTTTTTCTTCATTGTTCCTTTCTCTTTTCATGGCTTTGTAGGATGTCAGGATCTGAAATGATTTTAAAGATATGTTATAAAATGGTGGTTGTTAAGGATTGCTCAGGGTGTTGCATTTAATGATGAGAACAGGCTCAAATTGAAAACTGGCTCCACTGAAAGTGAGTTTTGTGGCAGAAGTCTTTTTATATAATGTTTTTATCATCTGTGTATATCATTTGTTATCACCACCTATTGTCACATATTCTTTTTCACTTCTCTAAAAACTTTATTATATATTATAAAAAAATAATAATATAGAGGACATACCATGATTAAGGAACACAATATATACTGTGCTTTATTTCATATTGTTTCCTTTGGAGGGATTTTTTTTTTTTTATAGTTGTGTGGTCTTCCTAGCATGTATTAGACACTTCAAACAGGTTTTTTAATAAATGGTAACATTTGTAGTTTAGAAATGCTGCAGGGAGAAATCATCAGTCCCATATTGCATGAGGTTCCAGAAGTACAAAGGCAAGTCAGGGAATCCTAATCAGTTTCATCCTTGTTGGTAGACCTCCAGGTGACTGAGTTTTCCAGAAGCATCAGGTGCTTCCAGTTCTTGTCGCATATAACCAAGTAGCTCCCCAGTGCTTTAGTATGCAGGCCCTCGATTCTCCCATATAACTTACCAATAAGCAAACCCAAGCCACTCTATCAAATTGGGGTCTGCTTATTCTGTTTCTAGCAATCTAATAACTAACCTAGTTTAAAGTGATTCAGTAAGAGGAAACAAACGCAGGAACAACAAACAAACAAAAGAAACCAGGCACACCCATCCTACAGAGTTCTCCTCTTGAGTAGAACCTGATTTCTGTGGATCTGTTAACCTCATTTGATGTCTACAACAATACTCTGAAGTAGGTCGTATATTCTTTATTTTGTAGTTAATAAAATAGAAGCACAAAGAGGCCATAAGATAGGTCAGGGTCATATACTCAGTAAGTACAGAAGTAAGTTTCAAAAACTATACACCTAAATCATTGCTAGATTATTTTGTCTTATTTTTGTTTGTTTCTGAGATCGAACTCATGGTCTCACACTTGCAAAGCAGGCTTTTATATGCTAAACCCCCAAGATTATTCTCTTATAGCATAGAAGTAAAGCCTACTTGTTCTAACTGATCCATCTCTACTTTTTGTTCTGTTTGTTTTTCTTCATCTTGGCCTGTTTTTAGTCCCTAAATGTTGGCACTTTAGACAGGGCATCGATTCGATTATAGCCTTGCCCCAGCTGTGGATTAAACTAACACAGATCCTTTGCTGTGCCTCTTATTCAGAAGTAGAAGCCCAGTCATACATGGTAGTAGCACTGAGGGGACTGAGCTAGAAGGACCTCAGGTTTGAGTCTGGCTGGACGTTGTGAATATACCGCAGTAGTACACCCATAGATTTCATCACTGGTACTACAATAATTGAAGGAAAGAAAGGGAGAAGGGGAGGGCTCGAGGAGGGAAGGAGGAAGGAAAAAAGGATCTATTTTTCTTTTTCATGAGTCTAGAAAGTAGACTTATGTCTTGGTTTGACCAGCAGTGTGGTATAACAAATGCTATGGCAGTTCATGGCCATGAATTTAAACAGTCTGGCTGCTGCTGCTTTCATTCTCTTGGACCCCTGAGCCATCATGTAATGTGGTTACCTATCTGGCTATAGATCTTTCAACGGAAGTATGAGAGTTGCCTGGTTAGTCAGCGGTTAGCCCTTCCATCTCAGCTGAAGCATCAGGTGTGTGACTGAGCCTGGATTTGCAGCCACAGTTGAGCCTCCAGCTAACTGCTGTTACCTGAGAGGTCCAAGTGAGATCAGAAAAATAAGACAACCAGCCTAGCTCAGATTATAGAATTGTAAGCAAGTAAGCAGTTGTTATTTTAAATCATGAAGCTTTGGGGTTTTTTGTTAAGTAGAGATACCTGAAATATTCACAGACTCCTAAATTTACTTTGTCTCCATACATTGAAAACTCAGTACTAATTTTTTTATTTTCTATAGTCACACCTTGAAATACTAGGGTTTCAGGAAAGATAAGGTTCTTGTTTGTCCAGGAGAAAGAAATTCATTTGATATGGTGTGTTAAGACTGGCCAAGTGAAGAGTCCATTGAAAATAAAAAAGAACTGGATAGGGAGAATTATTTGTTTGTTTGTTTATTTATTTATTTATTTTTTGGTGCTGGGGATTGAACTCATAATCTCAGGCTTGCCAGGCAGGCACTTACACTGCTGAGCTAAATCCCAGCTCCCTGGATAGGGAGAATTTATAGGTAATCTAATGCAGATTTCACAAACTAATTTTAATTTTCTGGAGGCTGCTTTAGTAAAAGGGATGTAGTTGATTTTGAGAATTTTAAGGAACAAATTAATAAAGCAGAATCAGAATCTGCAAGTGAGTAAGTATATGTAACTTCCATGGATGAAGCTCTGTGATACGTATCTTGGACCCCGGTGCTCTGGCTACACCTTGGTGAGGCATATGGTGGCATGGACACCCACTGTTTGGTCTCCTTCTTTGCACCACCCAGGATAAGGTTGTGTTCTTCCACATCATTTCCCAGCCATTGGCTGAGCATGATGGGTCTTCAGACCTGGCCATTTCTGCCTATGCAGGACTCTATCACAGATTATCTTTGACCTGGACCTCCACATTAGTGTGGCCAAACCTTTTTGAGATTTTCATTGTGTGCCCAACATTGTTTCTCCTATGAAGTTCTTCTTTACCCTTTTCTTTTCATAAATGTCTCATGAAGTATGAAACCTTTTCTTGTGTAGTCCATTTTTCTTCTTTTGTACCTGTAGTAGGTGGTATTCCCTACTAATCGTATTTCACTGCTTATTGTAGCTCAGCATCTGCATCTTGGAGAACCTATGTAAGGTAGCACTGGGAGAAAATTGACACATGGTTCAAATCAGTAGAATTCAGAGACCTCTTCCAATTGTGCAGTAAAATAACATTATGGTCTGCAGCCCAATCCCTCCCAGGCAGAATTGGATCATCATTTTTTAAGTCTAAGAAAGTCTAGTAAGGCTTTCACCATATGAGCTGCCTTGTGAAGTAGAGAAGGCACTTATCTAAGTCATAAACTTGCTTCTTTGAAAAAAAATTATATTATTTTCATAATTTCAGTTGTATATTCATATTGGGGTCTATAAAATTTATTTCAATTGCTAGTATTTGTGACTATTGAGAGTCATTTGGATATGCTAAATTAAGCACAAAAAGGTGGAAGTATAATAGTATCTAGCAAAATATAGCTGTTTAAATTATAGCTCCTGGTGGCATACAGATATGAACAGATAACACTAACACTGCAGATGATTAAAGAGACAGAAATGGAAAAACTGTCAAACATGCTTCCATTTATTTTAATTTGAGAAATAATCTTTTGTATTGTTTTCCTGCTAATACGTATCATAGGAATGTGGCGGTGCTTCCAGAATTCGCAAAATAAGCATGTACCACATAATAGAAATAATAATAGTTTGGAAATTATGTGATTCTTAGACATTATACTTTCTAGAAAACATTAAAATGTGCTTTTTTTACATTGTGCTTGTATGATACGAATCGAATGTGAATACAAATGCTTACTTTGAAGATTTGAAGTTAAAAAATCAGAAAATTAGGTCAGTTGGATTCCCAGTGTTTACACAGCAAGTAAAACTAGGGCAAAAATAACAGCCAAAATATAATGTGCTCCAGCCTCTTTTATGTTTCTTTGAAATACCTTTTGGAGTCCCTGGGTTCTTACATGAGACGTGGCAAAAGGACATGGCCCTCATGGTACACATTTTATAATTTGCTTTCTAAATTTTTTAGGACGATTATCTTGAGTCTTTACTGTCCGCCAGATGTACTAAATTCTTTATGTAAATTTTCTTATGAATACCATAGAAATCAAATTATTTTCATTGTATAAACAAGAAATGTATGACATTGAAGAGGTTAAGTAATGCGACTCACTTTTCACAGCTGTTTAAAATACAGAGTGGTCTTCCCTGGTTTTAGTCATACTAAGGAAGGCTTGGGAGATTAGAGTACCGTGTTCGCTAGACTCTTTCCTCTCCCACTCCCCTTGCCTACTTCTGGCCCTGGGAGCTGGAGGGGGGTGGAACTAGAGACACTGCTGCTGGTCCAGGCCCTGCTGGTCCAGGCCCTGCTGCCTTAAGCCGGCTGTGCCTGTGCTGGGCTCAGGGAGCTGGTGCTGAGTTCACAGAGGAGCCCTCCCCACTGCCAGCACGGTCTCATCACCTCCCGCACTGCTGCTTTAATTAGTGCTGCTGCCCACCTCGCCCTGCTGTGGCCAGCGCCTTCACTGCTGGTGCCTTGTGCTCTCCTCTTCCCTGGCCGTTCTTTAAGCAAGAGCTGCTGCAGATTTTACTTGTACCTCCCCTGTGCATTCATTGCCTTGAGACTCAGGCAGAAGTCCATGGAGCCTGGATCAAAGACTCCTGGGTGAGCCATGTGTTACCTTTCCTACCGTGTGGGTTAGCGGTCTTTGAACCAGACATGAGCATCTCAGTTCTCTTCTTCTCTAGAGCATTCTTTTCCCAGAGGCTTTCTTCTCTCCTGAATGCCCTGCTTGCCCTGAAAACAGAAGTAGAAACACTTCAACCCCAGGTGAGAACACTTTAGTCTTAATGTGAAACCACCCTCTCATTTCATACGTTAGTGTGAAAGAAATAATGAAATACATTCACATCGTAATTGGGAATATGTACAAATTAGATACCTGCAAGAATTGACTCATAATAATTACTAAAGATTCATACAGTGTAAGTATAACTTTGAAATCAAAAAAGTGAGTTTTAAGTCATTATTAGAGCTCAAAAAGTCAAGTCTTTCTTTGAAGTCCTTTCAGTAATTCATGCTCCCCATACCAAATGGCCTAGGTGGACAGGTTATTTTTGTTTGTGTCATGGTTACTTTTTTTATTTTTGCTCTCAGTCTTTATTCAGGAGGAGGACAATGTTGTGTGAAAACTAAAAAGTCAGAAAGTAAAATGAAGATTTACAAACCTCTTATCCTTAATGACATGCAGAATAAGGATTTTTTAATAGGAAAATATTGTCACACTGTTGAATTCTTTATAATCTTAACTAAAATGAAAATCAGTTTGGATTTTCAAATTGAGAAAGCATATGGGACAAAAAACTTATAATATTCTGCCCCTCTGCTGTTTAAATGTTTCCCAGGACTAGTAGTCTAGCTGGGTGGGGAGGCATGAATGAAGGAGAAGGAGAGAGAGGGGGCAGATGAGAGTGGACTATTCAGGCCCTGGCGAGGCTCTCTGTTCAAGCCCACCTTTCTCTACGGGTAATAGGATCACTTTTTTGCATGCCTGTCATAAAAGTCTGTATTTGTGTCCTGCCTGCACTAATAACACTTGAGAATTTTATGGCTTTTTTATTAACAGTATGATAATTGTTAAATAATATAAGTCCATGCATTTTGAATAGGCTGAGCATCCTAATTTATCTGATATATGGGTAGATTTGCATCCATGACTTGGGCTTTCTTTTCAGTAAACTGCATGAGGAATACAGTTTTAGTGAACAGATGTACATCTGTGACTTTTGTGTGTTATTTATATAAAGTTATCCTGACGTTGTTTGTTTTGTGTGACTGTGTATGTTTAGTGTGCGTTGATTCTTTTTCACTTTCCCTTGCCTTCCCTTACCCTCCTCTTTGTCCCTTTCTCTCTCTTTCTGGACTACTGGGGAATGAACCCAGGCCTTAGCACTCCCTCCCAGCCCCCTTTTTGTTTCTGAATTTTGAGACAGGCTCTCTCTCATTAAGTTACTAAAATGCCCAGGCTAGTCTTAAACTTGTTATTCTTTTGTCTTACCTCTAATGTCCTACCTCAATACTACATCTGGCTCATTTTTAAAAAAAGTTTGTTTTCCTTGATTTTAAAGTTGGAGAACAAGAAAAATATTTCAACATATAAAGGTTAAGAAACAAACCATGATATCCCTGTGTTTAAACATCTATACAGATACATATTTTGTGAACTGTGTATTATAGTATAAATAATGTGTCTTGAGTAAAATAGGGATGCCAAAGCTGTATAAATAAACAACATAGTTCGCTTACATTTCTACTCCTTATATTTTGGGGTTCAGTGGGAATTCATGCCTCTTGTCTTTGTGCAAAAATTTTAATGGTCTCCTAGTGTAATTAAATTTATAGAGGAAGAGCTTTTAAGTTCCTACAGTGACAAATGCCATATGTGTGTGTGTGTGTGTGTGTGTGTGTATGTATAAATGTTCATGAGTATTTAAAATTCTATTTGTTATCTACCTGTTTTCATTTCATTTTAAGAATGTGCAAAAAAATGTTTGGGCTGTGGTCAGAATTCCTTTCCGAGGCGGAGATGTTTTTGTCTTAGGTTTCAAACTTGTTCAGTCAAATGAGGTTTGAAAATAGTTGAATTGAAAATTCCTGTTGGAGCAGACTGGTGGGTGTATTTCTTAATATATTTTTCTGAGGAAATATTCACTACTTTATTGAACAGATTAGACTCAGTTTTAATCTTCACACAATAGAAAACTTTGATTTTCAGAAAGTTAAATGGAAAATTAAATGGAAATTAAAATACAACAATGATTCATCAAATAAGCAATTACAGCCAAACTACTCAGGAAAGGAGAATCTTGCAGCTACTAACCCTATAGAAGTAGGCAATATGCTAATTCTAGAATGAGTTCTACTACAGAATAGACAGTTTTAACATCTGAATTTACTAACCTGTAAAGGGAGAACTTTACATTGAAAATAACTGTATCGCCTTAATTGTGATTTTATTGAAAGGCTAATAATACTCTTAATAGGAGATGCACCCTGGGTTTCTGGAGCAGCGACAGCTGTCAAATATCACTTTTTCCTGAGAATAGGTATAGCATAGGGTGTTTTTCAAGGACAAGTGGCTCAGCTATTGTCTCAGCCAGTGCTGCTAGTTAATATTCGCTCAGCTATTGTCTCAGCCAGTGCTGCTAGTTAATATTCAACAGTTTTCTTAATCAAAATTGTGTGTCCTGCTCCCCAGAGTGTTTCTTAAAGTGATTGCATGTTTATCAGAGCCTTTGACAGCAGAAACAGCGAGTTCCTGGCTGAGGTGCTGGTAATGAGGACCTGGATTATTCCAGGGTGCTGATGAGAAAAGGAAAATGCTGTCAAAATATATTGTTCTGAAAAGTAATTACAATACCTCAAAAAGTCAGCCCTTTCTTTGAAGTCCTTGTACTTTATATAACTTTAGTTGTTTATCGTGAGTATGGTGTGGAAAGGGTATGGTAATATCCTGCTATAAACTCCGGAAATAGCACATTAATGATCAAGGAGTCTGGGGTCTTTTAATCGCAGGATCTGTTGGATGACTAAGGCTCTTCACAACATGTTTCCTTAAAATTACAGGAAGTTCTTAATGAAGAAAAGCTTGAGGGACATTCAAAAGCCCAGTCTGGCATTATACAAATGATGTTGAAAAGGTCATGTGGAAAAATCACACTTTGCCAAAAGTGAAATAATGCAGCAGCTAATATTTTCCATCAAATGCTGTAGTTAGAATTTAGGTTTGCATCTGTTTTGAACACCAGATCATTTTCTGTTGCCAGGTGATACTGCCCTAGAAGCAAAAGCGTTTTGAATTGATGTGACTTTTTTGCAGTGGATACTTGCCACTTCCTGTTGTGCTCAAATGTGTGTACAGAGCAATATTCCAGAATGCATTGCTTGAAAAGTATGGTCACTCTAGTACTATAAAGAACATTTATTTTTAGATTTTTGTTTTGTTCGTAATGGATCTCTGAGGAATAAAAGCTGCTGCAAAAGTCTTTTTAAATTAATATGTTGCTTTCTTCTGGAGCTAGAACATTCAATAATAAAACACAATATGTGCAATTGTTTCACATAATGAAAAACACTTTGGTCATTAAGAAACAATGTACCTGCATTCCATAAGAGTTAATCTTTTTAAAAATAAAATACCACTTTTGCAGACAACAGCCAGATATCTCAGATACTTTCTGAGACATCACTTTTTGCACTGTTAGTACTGATTTTTGACATAGAAAGATGGGTGTATTAATATAAAAGGTCACTACATATTTGAAACTTAAGTGATAGTATTTGCTAATGTTCAAGGTAGCTTTTTAACTTAATATTGTTATGTATAGGCAATTCCTTTTACCTTTTAAGTAAATTGATCAGTGTTAGGATTGTATTCTGTTGTTGCTTAAAATTGTTTCACAATGCAAATCACAATCAGACTGATTTAATACTAGGTTTTGGAAGAATGGCGTGTCCAGTCTAGGAATAGAAACCACACAGTAGGTTGCATAAGGTAGTTTAATATAAAAGTTAATAAAATATGACAAAATAGTTGCTGTAAAATGGGGAAAATCTAGGTAATTGTCTGAGGTCTGGCTTAGCATCTGGTATGGTCTGTTGTCAGGGGCACACTGGATTAAGAAGTTAGACCAGGTATGCATCTAATCTTGTGGCTGCACATCAGAGGATGCATGCACCCTCCTGGGCCTGTGGGGACCTGCAGCAGTCTCAGTCAGGTTTTGAGGGCATGAGGGCTGAGCAGGTGGCACATGATTCCACTGAGAGAAGTTGGAGAATAGTGAGAATTTTCATGTAGAGAGGGTCAGGTACTTTACACCTGGTGGAATCCCTGCACTTTGATCCCTGAATGACCAGGATAAGAGCTCTATGGATTTTCTCACATCTCCACCTAAACTGCTAAGCCTCCTATTGTCTGAAACTAGGGTAGAACCCTTTCTTCCTGCAGTGTTCCTGTAGCATCCCAGATGGGGAAAGCTCATGTTAAGTAGAAATGCATAAAGGGATTCCTAGTGTGATCAAAGGACATGTGTTTGTTCAAAGGTGCATTCATAGTTGAGAGGCAGTGAACTCATATCTAAAACATATTGTCGTAGATTTAATTTCTAGTGTAAATTGCCTTTAAGAACATCTTGTTGTTTAGAGGTGCTCTAATTTTGGCATCTCTGTACTTGTATGTCCTAATTGGTTGCATTATTCTTATGTTCAGTAGCAGAATGTATACCTGTATTTTCCAGTGCCTCATACTATCTATAGCTTTCTGGATTGAGAATGGAAGCTTCTGTATTTATGCCACTTCTAAGTATGCTCAAATTCTTTATTTGAGTAGCCTCAGTGGATGGATCTTATGAAGTATCAATAGACTATTCTGATGAAAACATTCAGATCTGTTTTATTAAAGAACCCGGAAACTGTTCCCAGAGTCTCAACTGGAAAAAGCGCACAACTCATTTGGCAGAGCTGAAAAGCAATATTGATTTTGACACCAAGACTATGCAAGTGTATACGTCTATCTGTTACTAGTCACTAACTTTTTTCCCCTCTGCCTTTACTATAGTCATTTCTGTGGTTTCAGTGAGAAAAATTTCTTATTATTGTCTGTATTC